GAACTTGTCCAAGTTCAGCTTTCATGAGTAGCCTGTCCTGCTAGTTACATTAGGATTTATTTTCCCCTGGAGAAGAGTGTTTGAATTGGTAGTTTTTTTAACCTGTTCAGTTAAATGAACATATGTTCTGAACTGCATCTTAACTCCTGAGTGTAAAGATTTGAGAAATAATTATTTCTATTGTTGTTACAGTTTTAAAGTGCATTTTAAATAGTGGTTTTAGACTCGAACTGTGTGCCATAACCATTTTAATACGGTGATGAGTTTGGATATGAAATCACATTCAGTTGCTTAATACAAATTTAATGATACAATATAGAAATAGAGATCTGACCTGTTTTGCTGAAAAAATTATTTGTACTTGTATTTTCAGTTACTGCTTGAATACATCTCTTGGGTCATAAAACTTTGTTAAATATAGCTCAGTACCTTATTAATGATGGATTTTCTGTATTAACAGGTGCAGTTTGGTAGCAAACTTGTATTTTAAGTTCTTTTAAATGAGTTATTTGTGTTTCAAAACTATTATAGTAAATCCTGAATTATAAATGTACTTTCATCACTAGCCAGCTCTAGTTAAAATTTCCTTTAAGCAACATTTGCTGCACACATGGTACAATAATTCCCCCTCCGCCTTGATTTTTTCTTTTTCCTATAAAAAACGATTTATTTTCTTCAACTTCCCATTCCTCCGAAGTTACCTGAAAAGGGCCAGTAGACTTTATTCTTTTGGGATTGTTAAAGTACAGTAAGTGTAGAATTTGCATATTGTTAAAAAAAAATTCATACACTGTTACTACTCCTACGGGACTATTTTATGTGAAACTTGTAAGTTTTAAATTTAGCATAGTTCAATACAGTAGCTGTAATATGTGTTAAATGGATAGTCAAACTTTTAAAGCAAAATCTTTTCCACTGTCATACTGTATGCTATGATTGTCATAGCTCTTTAGACACCCCCTAAAAGTACATGAATTTGTTAATACAAATGTGTCATTTTAGATGGAATTATTGTGGAGTCGTGTTCATCCTGAACTTTGGTGAAAAAGGTTTTCTGTCATCTTGCTTCCTTCCCAGTTTTCCAGTAGGGAACCCATTTTTTGAAATATTTAGACACTTTTTTCTGAAATATTCAGTTTTAATCCTACAAAAGAATATTCAGAAATACAAAGGAGAAGTAGAAAATAGAAGTTATCTGAAAGGATAACAAAAGGAAAAAGAACAGAAAAGAAAAGAACAGAAAGGAAAAATGTTACAATGCACTTTCTGCAGTGAGATAAATAATAAAAGATCGCAATGGATGGCTTGACCACAAACAAACAAGGCTAATACAAGTTCCCTTCTGAAAAGGCCTCTAATGAGTTGTGGTCTTTCCTAGCAATAGAGGCTGTACCGATACAAAATATGGTATTTCCAAGCTTCAAAGACTGATAGTTTCATTCAAACAATAGACTGCTTTTTTTTTTTTCATTCTGAAGGAAATTTCTACTACCAGATGCAAGGCTGAGTTTTGCCATGTAATCAGTAAGTGTTTTTCCTTCATGTTTTTTCTGCAAATGACATTTGAAGTGGGCAGTACAGTTGTGTCATCAGCTTCAAATGAGTTGCAACTCAGAGGCGGTCTTGTTTCCTCCCCCTTGCTTTTTTCCTCCCCCTTCTCAACATTTTTGAGACAGGTAAACCTGATTCCAAGCTTTGAGGTTGAAAAACCTTGGCCTAAAGTTAGTGGTTGCTGTTATAGAAGGCTACAACACCTGGTTTTGTTTGTTTTTTGTCCTCTATCTGTATTTACAACCATCTTCTGAGAATCTTTCATGAGTGTCTTCTTTCATAGGAATCAGTTTTTCTTTTATTCCCTTGTTTTTATTTTTAGTGAGGAGCAATGGAATTGGCTTTTGTGGATGGGCTTTATCTATGAAACTTTGATTTGTGGTGTAGACATCCACAGCTGAGATAATTATTGCAATCCCCCTTTATAGACATTGGACAGAAATAGTTCCCTGCAGAAAGCAGTTCGTTTAATCCTCAGATCTAGAATGAATGGATCTCTGTTTTTTATATTTATGTAAGTGCAGTTTTCCTTCCTTTTACCTTGAAAGCCATCTTAGAGGTTGTTTTTGGTTTGGCCTCGATAAAAGTCAGGTGCCCACCAAAACTGCTCTATCACTCCCCCTCCTCAGCTGGACAGGGGAGAGGAAATATGATGAAAGGCTCAAGGGTCGAGACAAGGGCAGGGAGAGATCACTCACCCGTTACCGTCACGGACAAAACAGACTGAACTGGGGGAGAAAAGGAAAGTTTAATTTATCACCAGTCAAATCAGAGTAGGATAGTGATAAATAAACCCAGATCTTAAAACACCTTCCCCCCACCCATTCCTTCTTCCCGGGCTCAACTTCACTCCTATTTCTCTACCTCCTCCCTCTCCCCCAAGCGGCACAGGGGGACGGGGAATGGGGGTTACGGTCATTTCATCACGCGTTGTCTCTGCCGCTCCTTCCTCCTCAGGGGGAGGACTCCTCACACTCTGCCCCTGCTCCAGCACAAGGTCCCTCTCATGGGAGACAGTTCTCCACAAACTTCTCCTCCAACGTGAGTCCTTCCCACAGGCTGCAGCTCTTCACAAACTGCCCCAGTGTGGGTCCTTCAGGAACAGACTGTTCCAGCGTGAGTCCCCGTGGGGTCACAAGCCCTGCCAGAAAACCTGCTCCGACGTGGGCTCCTCTCTCCACGGGTCCACAGGTCCTGGCAGGAGCCTGCTCCAGCGTGGGCTACCCACAGGGTCACAGCCTCCTTCAGGCATCCACCTGT